CTCCTGCCCAGTCACTTTTCAGGCCCCTCTCCTTTGGCCTGCCACTTTGTCCTATTCCTGCCAAAGGGAAAGGGTTTGGTGCTTGAGTCCGAGACTGCTCCCAGCTAGATGGCAACAGCTGGGGGTGGGCGTGCAGAGCAGAGAAAGCCTCTATTTATAAACTCCCAGCTCCCTCCTCCACCCTGCTCTGGGCACTGGCTCCCCTTCCAGTGTGAGTGACCCTGTGGGCTGCCCCCACCAGGCCACCGTGCCCAACCCCCCACACCCAATGCTCCCTCTGAGGGCCTTGCCAGGTCAGGTGGCAGGGCCGCACCAGTAGCAGGAAAGTGGCAGATCAGGTTCTTCCCAGATGTGGGAGATAGAGTGGTTGCCATAACAACACAAAGAAAGGTTGCCACCTCCCAGATGGACTGGGGCTCTGGGTCCCAGCATCTCCCAGCTTGGAAAATGGAGGCACATCCTCACCCTTACCAGGGCACTCCTCCTCAAAGGGACACAGTGCTTTCTAGTAAACATGGCCACACGGGCTTCTGAGAGAGTAGCTGGGGCTAGGCTTCTCTAGGGACAGAGAACTGCAACTGCGCAGCAGAGCCAACAATGACAAGGACAGCACAACAGAACCTGTTCCCAGAATACTGAGATGGGCCGGCCCTGGGTGTGCAGGATCTCATGGAGTCCCACACCCACCCTTGGAGGCCTCACACTTGATTTACAGTGGTGCAAACTGAGGCTCAGACAGTGACTTGCCCAAGGTCACATGCTGCACTGGTGCAGTTTAAACCACCCTAACCCCAACCAGGAGCTTGCCTTTAGTGAGCACTGCTACAGCATCCCTCCTATCCAGCCTGGGCACAGGGGAGGCTCATCCTGTTTCTCACCTCATTTCTCACCTCAAGAAGGCCCAGCAAGATGAAGCCCCTTCCCCCAAGGTCACACAAGGGGCATTCACACCCATAGCTGACTTCAGGTCTTCACCAGGACATGGAGCTGCCTCAGTTTCTCTTTCTCACCCCAAATGGACAGAATGCGCTCCAGCCTCCCCAACATGGGCCTGGGCAGCCTCCCAAGGAGGGCAATGAGCCAGACCCTGGCCCTCTCCCCATCCCCCAGGCCTGGGGAATGGAGGAAACAGGCCTCCCGTGGAGCAGAAAGAAAACAACTCCTGGCTTCCGGCCTGACTATCCAAGCGTGGAAAACGGACCATAGGAAACCACCGGACCACCTGTCCATTGCACAGGTGTGGAGACTGAGGCTCAGAGAAGGGGTTGTGGCCTTGGCCTGGGACCCATGTCTTCAAACGCCCCAGTAGAGTCCAGAACCACTGCTGGACAAGGACAGGGATGTAGGAGCCACCCAGTGCCCGCTCCCCCCTCCAGGTGGCAGGCGCCAGGGCAGCAGGACAACCTGGCAGGTCCAAATGGTGGACGCTGCTACCTCTTCCCAGGCAACAGGGCGCAGGCCCTGCTCACGGGCCCTGGGCCACGCAGACCGTGCGGTCAGGGCGCCGGGTCCCCGGGCTCTTGCTCTCTTCTGGGTAGGGCAGAAGGAGCAGGGCCTCAGCGGGGCGAGGTGTCGCCGCGGCGGGCACGGTGGCAGCAGCAGGGGCTGGATAGACCCGTGTCCCCAGGCTCCTGCCGCAGGGTGCTCGTTTCCAAACAGATACCCAGGCCTTCTCCAGCTAG